CCTTCCCATGGACAGCCTTGACTGTGTCTGAGCTAGATAAGAGGCTCACAGGACAGACGCTCCAATGGCTGAGTAAATGAGACCCAGGTTGGTTCATATGCTGGTTATCTGTCTACACAGGTGTTTCAGGTCCTTTTTTTCCCTTACCTGGAGTTTGTTATTGTGAGGTTACCAGAGTCAGAGCATTGCCTAGGGAAGACTGATCTCTGAAAACAGCTATTTGGTTAGAAACTTTAAGTCTGGCATTTTGTATTTTAAAGTGTCCAAAGTAGGAGTTGGGGAGATGGCTCAGTTGATAAAATGCTTGCTGTGCAGGCTTGACTGCCTGACTTTGAATCCCCAGCACCCACATAAAAGCCAAGTCCAGCAAAGTGTATCTAAGCTAGAGCTGGGAGGGCAGAGTCAGGTGAGTTCCTGGAGCTCACTGACCAGCCAGCCTGACAGAATTGGTACGGTCCAGGTTCGGTGAGAGAACTCATCTCAAAAATATAGATGAAGAGCAAATGAGAAAAATACCTGAGGTCAACCTCTAGCCTCCACAAACATACACATGTAGGACACACATACATATGAGAATGTAGATGTCTAAGGTTTCTGGGTCAAAGTTGAGTCTCTGCTAGGTAATGCTCTGTTTGTTTATTAATTACTTAATTCATTAATTCATTTAGAGACAGGATTTCCCTATAACCCCAGCTGGCCTGGAATTCACTACTTAGCCTCGGCTGGCCTTGGTTTCATAGAGATCTGCCTGATTCTGCCTCCTGAGTGCTGGGATTAAAGGTGTGCATCACTACACCCAGCTTAGATGATGCTCTGTCAGAAGCAGGAGACATGGGACAGCAGGGGAGCCACAGCAGCTTTCGATGTCTGTCTTTGGCTTCACTGCCCAAGGCTGATCTTTGAGCCTGGGATCCTGAGATGTGAGCAAGAAACACCACAGGCTGGTACAAAGTAGGGCTTGGATGGTAGCTCCAGTCCCCGCTGGTATTCGAGAGTGTCCCACACATGCAGCACATTGTAACATCTCTCCATTTCACATTAACTGCAGGACAAGGACCATATCTGTGGGGTGAATTTTCACTAAATCTTGGATATACATAGTCCCAGATTTCCTATGAAATAATGGTGCATAGGAAAGTTAAAGTTAAAAATCCATTAAATTTAAATTCTACCATACTTAGTTAAAGAATTGAGCAGCACACACACACACACACACACACAGACACACACACATTTTGGAGGTGTCAGGAAAGGGATTTAAAAGCCAGTGTTTTACTATTCTGCATAAGGACCATCCAAACCACAGTACAGACCAGGATTAGATGTGTGGTAACTGAACAGTTCCTGGAAGCCGGAGAAAGCACACAGTAAAGAAATCTCTGCCTGTTGAGGTCATGCTGACTGCTAGGCCCTTAAATCTCAGTGGCTTAAAAGAATAGGAATTTGTTTCTTCTTCCTGAAGTGTACAAGCTGCTTGTTTGTGACTATCGGTGGCCTCTCCTTTCCAGGAACCCAGGCTCTTTCCCTCTTGGGTTCAGCCAGATTCAGTACACAGCCTCCAGGTCATGGGTGGTTACTTCAAGACACACAGGCAAAGGTGCTTGGAGGACCAGGTACAGGTTTCTAGGAATTGGTCGGTAGTGGTACACATCCATGCACACATACACGTCATGGCCAGAAGTGGGCATGTGGCCCCTTCTCCCTGCAGAGGGGGATGGGGAACACTCTAGGTCTGGTTCCTACAGGATGGTGCCAATAATCTCTGCCCCATACCACAGAAACTGAAACCCCATGTGCTGGATAGCTTTAGTTGTCAACTTGACACCTGGATAGAGGAAGCCTCAACTGAGGAATTTCCCCCACTGGCCTGGCCTGTGGCCATGCCTCTGGAGCATCTTCTTGATTGTTGACTGATGTGGGAGGGCTCAGTCCACTGTGGGTGGTACTACCACTGAGCAGGTGGGCCTATACTATATAAGAAAGCAGGTTGAGTATGGGCCAGGGAAGCACGCCAGTAAGCAGCATTCCTCCATGGCCTCTGCTTCAGCTTCTGCCTCCAGGTTCCTACCCTGAGTTCCTACCTCGGGCTCTCTCAGCCATGAACTATGACCCAGGGCATGTGAGCCAAATAAATCTTTTCCTCCCCAAGTTGGTATTGGTCAGAGTGTTTTGTCACAGCAATTGAAAAGAAACTAGAACATCCCAGAACCCTTTGACCTTATCCTAAGATCAAGTGCAGAAAGCCTCAACAGCATGTGTGTGGGCTGAATCAAACAATATACTTGAGAATTTTCACCACTCAGCTGAAGAGTTCAACAGGACTGGATCTGGGAAAAGCCACTAATGCATCCCTGATATGATAGACATCAGATTGTTCCTACCTGGCTGCTAATCTTCCTGGATTTGGGAAATTGAATCTTTCTGACACATTCTAAAATTTGAGTCTTTTCTAACTTAGAATAATTCCCATTGAACTCTGGCTTCTGTTTCTGAATGTGGTGAATCTGATCCTAAGTCTACAGCCTACATATAAAGAGATCATGGATTAAATTGTGGGTCACCTAAAATTACCATTTATAAATATTGTGAAAGTGTAGTTCTCCCCAAATTAGACTGTTTCTTGATACATATAATGAGCACTGTCTCCTAGGGCATGTCTGTAGGGTCGACACAGCATTGTCATGAGTAAGCACTACAGAGACCAAGGCCTTGGTCCTTAGCTGCTTTGTGGGCTTTTGTTTCAGCTTTTCTGATTTTTGCTTAATTGAGCAAAGGACTATCGAAAGACCATCAGAGTCTTCTACTGTGGGATCCTGCAGGCAGCTGTTACACAGAAATTATGCAAAACACATTGCTTTTCATTCTCTGTTTGCTCGTTTGTTCAACAGGGACCTTGGAGGGCCTGCATGCAGCAAGTTCAGAGCTACATGATCATCTGTGTCAAGACGTCCTGGATCATTCCAGCCCTTTCTCTTTGTGACCCAGAACCATGTGGGGTGGGCCTCAAGTAAAGGGAGTGTTAAAGGGAGGTGAGTTTGAAGGTCTGAGAACAGAAGTGTTTAACCTAAGGCAGGCTGGAATCGTTGCCCTGAGGAGAGTTGCAAGTTGGGAGAAAGAACTGGTGGGGACTGTGCCAGCACTCCCATCATGGAGCTCTGTCCCACTATATTGATTTTGATAATTCCTTTGCCATATTTTCTTTTTTAAATAATTAAGATTAGAAAATTTGTGTGTGTGTGTGTGTGTGTGTGTGTGTGTGTGTGTGCCATGTGTGTGCAGGTGCCTGCAAAGGCCAGAAGACGGTGTCACACCCCCTGGAGGTGTGGAATTGTAGTTGTAAACTGCCTAACATGTGTTCTGGGAACTGAACTCAGGCTCTCTGGAAGAACCTTAAGCACTCTTTAACCTAGAGCCATCTTGTCAAGCCCTTGCTAAATTTTTCTTGAAGCTTTGTAGCATACACACATACAAAAAATATTGCTCCTTTTTCTTCTATCAATAGAATTTTGTCAGGGTACTGAATTATAACTTGATCATTTTAAACTTATAAATGTACCAATTTTTGGTACAATCTAACTCTGTGATGCAGTCAGGCTAAAGGATGATGGTTTCTTAAAATTCTGGCATTCTACTAGTTTTCAAAAATTCATTTTTAGGGGCAGGAGAGATGACTCAGCAGTTAGGAGCACTGACTACTCTTGCAAAGAACCTGAGTTTGGTTTCCAGCACCCACATGGCAGCTAACAACCGTCCTTAACTCAAGTTCCAGGGATTCTGGCACCCTATTCTGTCCTCCAAGAGGACTGCATGGCACAAGTGCACTTACATACATGCAGGCAATATACTCATACATGTAAAATAAAAATAATAAATAAAATATTTTTAAATTCATTTTAATCGACCTACTACAAACTGAAACCATCCTGAGTGTTTCCTATCAAATTTTGTTCTTAGCACACTTTTGTAGACCACTTTTTGCGAAGGATTATATTTTTTTTTCTTATTTGTTATTTTTACCAAGGATGGGCTCACTGACCACACCCTATGCTTTCAGAGATGCCTCCAATTCCTGTCTCCACTTGTTCTTCCTAGATGTTATCCTCGAGAAATAGATATCTTGGACTATCAACAAAAGCTTTTCTGGAAGGAATGCACGCTCTCAAATGATGGCTTCCATTTCCCTGTGTTTGAGGGGATGAAATGTAACGGAAAATTGACAGGTGCTGGTACACATCATGCTCACTTTTAAGTTGGTTGTCATCAGACCTGTGGAAATCAGCTGGACACACACACACACACACACACACACACGCAAGAGTCTTGTGTGCTGAACTGTAAATTGAGGATGATGCAGACAGCCAGTAATGTGAGTAGAGAGAAAAATATAGAAAGCAGTCCATGAGAGAGTTAAAAGATGCTTTAAGGATGAGAAGGTGTCAGCAGAGCAATGAAATGCTAAGAAGAAATCAGAAATAGGGTGAAAGGGAAAAGGGGAGCCGCCAGAGAGATGGGGGGAGCATGGAGATGGTCTCTACAAACAAAATAGGTTTGCAAATGCCACGAGGGAACTTTGTACGCAGATTTTAAAACAAGTAAATGAATGAGCTTTTCCAAAGATGGTGGTTCTGAGCATTACATAAGCACCCTGGAAGAGAGCCGTCCGTATCTACCACTTTCTGATCTTCCCACGAACACCTTGGAACACTCTCCCTACTCTAGCAACCTGGGCTTATCTGTGATTAAAATTACAAGTATGTCCTTGGAACCTTCCCCCTTTTCTTGACCTTTTCCCTGGCACTGTTCGAAAAGATAAGACTCTCTTATAAAAAGACCTTTGGTGTCACCCTGTTCTCTGTGGAACTTGATGGATCCGCCACGGTGAGTCAGGAACTCGATTTCCAGACTATTTTATAGAATGCACCTATTTATTCCCCAGGGGTCTGGTGGACATGAAGGATGACAATCTTTGGATACCTTAGTTCATGAGACTCAGCTGTGTTTTTGCCTTTGTGCAGATGCTGCTGCTGTGGACCCTTTCAGTGCTGCTGGGAGCAGTAGCCGGTAAGCTACATGCTTATGTAGAGATGGGGGAAGCTCGTCATGCAGCCCTTCCGAGAAGGCTGTGACAGCTGAACTTGACCATGGTGAGGGTGAGGACTGAATTAGGGGCATTGTAAGATTAAGGAAGATAAGGAGTAAAGAGAGTTTGATGCAGGGTGACAAACACAAGTGCCTAAAGTGGCATTGCCCAATAAAATCTCTAATGCTCAGTTCAATTTGTTTTCAAAAAAGCAAGAAATATTCAAGATAAATCATACAAGACATTGTGTTAAAATACAATGTCTATGTGGATTTCAAATTTAACTTGAATATTTATTTTCTGAACCTAGGATCTTTAGCTTGGGTCAAGAGAGGTGACTGAACCCTTTATTCATCCCCTACAAGTCTATGACAGTAAGAAAAATCCTTAAGCCCTCTGAACTTCAGGATCTTTGTGTATGACATGGAGATAAAGGCATCCTTCTAATGGGATGACTGTGAGACGTAAGTCAGAGAAGTAAATCATCTTGTCCAGCATCAGGCACACAGTGAGATGCAGAGAAACAGCCCCACGACAGATACTGACATTGCTCTGCCTTTAATCTGGGTTGATGAGGCTCCAAATCCTCCTTTGAATTGTTCCTTCATGTAGCTGCATGCCAGGCGACAGCTGTGTTTGATTATTTGTGATACTTGTTTGATTGTTTGAGAGTATCTTCTTCATCATAGGAAGCCAGGATGGTTCTCAAACACAGGTCAGACACTGGTGAGCTCAGCCAAGGTGTAGATACTAAGCTTGTCCCTTGCATGAAATGTCATGCCTCCACTGGTACAAAGCCAGATGGTGGCTCCTAGTAGTTGAGAGCCAGCAACACACCCCATCACCAGTGCCTGGGACACAGGGCAGCTCCATATCTTGGCACCAATACCCAAAGATGTCACTTGGTCCAGAAGCTAAAGTGAGTCCTTGAACTGGGCCTGAGCAGACATGAGGAGTGACAGGGTCCCCTGAGGGGAAGTGGGGAGCAGCAGCCTGTCTGTGGTGAGGCTGCTTGGTGAGTGAGCAGGAGGGTGTTTGGGAAAGCAGAGGAAGAACATCTGCCACAGATGTCATGCGACACATCTCCCTAGAGACCATTAAAGGAATATTCTGGTTAAACTCACATCCTTGAAATGTTTGTGGGTGATTTCAGGAAAAGAAGTTTGCTACGAAAAACTCGGCTGCTTCAGTGATGATGCCCCATGGTCGGGAACTTTAGAAAGACCTTTGAAAGCACTGCCCTGGAGCCCATCACAGATCAACACCCGCTTCCTCCTGTACACCAACGAGAACCCAAACAACTACCAGGTAGGAAACCTCACGGTTTCCAGGTTTCCAGGACTTGGTTCCACCTGCCTTATGTAATTGGTAGGAATATTCCATATTCCAATGAGAACAAGGAGAGTGGAGTCTGTATTCTGTAGACTTTTAGGACCATAGGGTTAAGTATTCTTTTTTAAAAACTTACTTTAAAAATGCCATTCACTTCTTGCTATTCTTGTCCTATCTCCAGTGTACCATTTAAAAATATTACATATATAGTGATATACTAGATATACATATTCATGTAATATGCACTCATATGAGTACTGTGATAAATTATATGCTACATCTGTGTATTAAATATAAATTTTCCCAAGATATTAATTTATCCATTGTGTATATAAAATATATACATACAGGATGCATTCACTTAAGATGATTCATCTTAGTAATATTTGTTTGGAAATTAATATATATTCTATAGAAAATGCTCTTAAATTTTGAGTATTGATGCTTTCTGGAGTAGCAATATGGTGAACTGTAATTTCAGTAGACAGTAACAATGAACCACAACTCCCACGTATCCACCAATCATGAATGTGAACAACTGGTTCAGCTACAGTGTGCTGTGTGGCCAAGCTATGACAGAAGATAGTTTAGGTTTTTGCAATGCATTTTCAGCTTATAATATTTTCATGCCAGGTGTGTTGGCACATACATATAATCTTAACACTTGAGAGGTAGAGGCTGGGAGGATCAGGAGCTCAAGGCCATCCTTGGCTATGTAGCGGGTTGAGGCCACCTGGACTACACAAGACCTTGGCAGAAAGCACAGTACAAAACAAAAATCTAACCACTTATAATATTTTCAGCTTATACTAGATTTATTGGGAAATTACACCAACATACCTGGAGGAACATGTGTACACATATATGTCTCACAATGTTGGATAGATAGATTATAGATATATAGATACAGACGTATGAAGACGTCTATTGAAGACTAGGTCTTAATGACAAACACTGTAGGAGACATTATCTGAGTTGAAGAACTACAAGTGGACAGTAGAGCCTAGGCATGATTGTGAATAGTTTGCTGATATGGGCACATACAAATAATTCTAGGGCCTACTAGAAGAAACTTGACCTGAAGCACTTTTCTCCCCCCAAACAGGAAATCACTGCAGATGCATCAATTATCCAGAGCTCCAATTTCAAAAAAAATAGAAAAACCCGTATTATTATCCATGGATTCATTGACAAGGGAGAAGAAAACTGGCTGTCTGATATGTGCAAGGTGAGACCTCGTGCTGTCCTGAGGGAAGGTAGTTTCTGAGTTGTCCATCATCAGGACAGTGGCCCCAATGAAAGAGGACATGTGCTGGTCACCACCACAGTGGGGTCTGAGGATTCCTGTGCCTGGAGCTCCCAGGGGAGATGGAGGAGGTAGTTGTGGGTGCAGGGACCTGGCAAAGTCAGTACAGTGAGGTGGGGAGTCACTTGATGACTGCAGGTTTAATAACCAACACAGTGACATTTGCAATTTTAACAACAGAAGCTGTGTTGTAGGTACAGCCCAGTTTGTCATGGACTTCTTCCCTAGCCTTTAGTTTCCTTGTGATGATATACTTCCTGCAACATTTTTCTTTGAATCAAATGTCTATGCATCTGTTGAGACAGAAATTCCCCAAATTCAGTTCCCATAATGGCCATGGCTCTGGTTGGGAGCCAGTGTTCAACTTGAAGAGGGATTCTTTAACCATGATGGACTAAGTGTTCTGATACAGCTCTGCAGTTAAAAGTGGTATGGCATTGTTCAGGTCAAGGGCAGAATTTACCCAATCCTCAAATGTGCTAATTAGTAATGAATCCTGGATTGTTTACCACTTACTGTTCCTCCTCCATCAGAACATGTTCCAGGTGGAGAGTGTGAACTGCATCTGTGTGGACTGGAAAGGTGGTTCTCGAGCTACATACACCCAGGCTACCCAGAACGTTCGGGTTGTGGGGGCAGAAGTGGCCTATTTGGTTGATACCCTTCAGGTAACTAATTTTGGGTTATGTAAAAGCCCTTGGGCATTGTTTTCTTGTTTGTCCTTCCACAAAAAAGAGGTAGGCATAATCTAGAATTAGGCTTCCTTAACAACCCATTTAATTCAATACAATAGTTTTATTTTTAAACAAATGTATTCTAGCAACTAGGTAGAAGGTATCTCCTGAGCTTTGCCAATGTTTTTGTTTTGTTTAGTTTGGTTCTGGAAATGGACCTCAGTGCACATGGCTCATATTAGGCAAACAGTCTGTCAGGAAGCTATAGCACCAGCCTATTTAAGTTTGTCAGTTTTTACCAATCTATTATGTAAATATCAACCAAAAGTTCGTACTAATTTTTTGTTTTTTAAATTTTGTATTTTTGTGTTTATGTGTGTATGTATGAACATGTTTATGTGGGTATGCATGCATGGCTCTGTGTGTAAATGTATGTGTGTGTGTGTGTGTGTGTGTGTGTGTGTGCGAGCCAAAAGTCATCACTAAATGTCTTCCTCAATCACTTTCTATCTTAGTTTTTGAGACAGCGTCTGGCACTGAACCTGGAGCTCATTGATTCTATTAGGCTGACTGGCTAATGGGCTGTAAGGACCTGCCTGTCTCAGCCTCTCCAGTGCTGGGATTATAGACATGTGCTGCCAACACCCTGCTTTTACATGGGTGCTGGGGATCCAAACTCAGGTGTGCAGGCTGTATGGCAAGCACTTTACAGACTGGTCTGTGTTTTCATTTATATTGTTCAAGAAAAGCAAATGACGGCAAGCCGACCTGACTATGTGACTGAAAAGTTAGCAAAGGTGAGCTTAATGTGCTTAAGTAATTGCTTCGTAGTTTGCTGATCCAAATACTTGCTCCACCATACCTGTGTGACAACCGTCATGTCCTTCATGGGTTCCCCCTATGGTAATAGAACATAGTAGAATTTTATGTCCACTAGTTTAAATGTTAATTTCATTTCTTTTTAAATATTTTATTTATTAATTTTATTTTATGTGTATGAGTGTATTACCAGCATGTAAGTGCACCTGTGTTGTACAATGCTCATGGAGATCAGAAGAGGGCAGCAAATCCTCCTGGAACTGGATTTACAAATGTTTGTTAGCCGCCATGTGAGTGCTGGGAATCCAAGCCGGGTCCCCTGAAAGAGCAGCCAGTGCTCTTAACTGCTGAGTCATCTCCAGCTCTGACCATTCCATTTCTTTATCACAACTGTGAAAAAAGGAATGCCAGTAATTCTTTGAAGGGTCAGTGTGCTTCTAAAGAAGGAAGGCTTGGGGCTACTCTTTTGGGCTTATCTGGTATTCTGCTTACTTGAAAACATTTTAAAGAGACTTTTTTCCAACAGTCTGACTTTCGATATTCACCCTCCAATGTCCACCTCATTGGCCACAGCCTGGGTTCCCATATTGCTGGGGAGGCTGGAAAGAGGACGTATGGCGCCATTGGACGAATCACAGGTTGGTTCAACAGCAAAAGCTGTAAGATTAGTTCTCATGTATCCTCTATGGGGTCCACATGGAACACAGGAGGGGAATATGTGGGGCGTTCTCTATACTTGTCATACGTCCTCAGTTCCTCAGTTGTGTCACATGATCAGAGCCCAGAACGTTCCGTGGCCTGGTGGAGTTTTTGTTTTACTATTATCAATCTTTGTTCATCACACCACTATTCATGAACATCCAGAATCATTACGTCTACTTTTATGTCCTGGACAAACAGAGAGTGGTCACTTTCCTCCTCTGTCTTCTAACCTATGCTGACCTGACCTTTTTTTTTTTTTTTTTTTACTTTGGAAACGTTGGTTGCATTTGGGCTGATGAGGACATCTAGAATATTTATTAATTTGTTGAAAAAATGTCATTGAAGAACATTTTTTTCCATAGTTTACAACTGGTCTCTATAGCCTATTCTGCCAGGTGCAGTGCCATGCCAGGCTACGGACTCAGAGACAGAAAGCCAAGCCCCTTGCTTCCTGGGAGATTAGACTCTAGTGGGAATTGATTTATCCTGAAGAGTCTTTAGTCCTGTGTCTCCTATGTTCAGCCTTTTTTCTGATGTGTTAATGACCAAGATTCCCCCAGGAACTAAACATCCATCAGCACAGGCAAATTCTGCTACGGTCGGGAAGGACTTCATATTTCCATGCACAGCTCAGGCAACAGCTGGTATTTTCAAAGAAGAAAGTCGACAGTACGCAAATACTGATGTAATTAATAACACATCCTATTTGATTCAGGGTTGGATCCTGCTGAACCTTACTTTCAAGGTACACCTGAAGAAGTCCGATTAGACCCCAGTGATGCTCAGTTTGTGGATGCAATTCATACAGATGCTGCCCCAATAGTCCCCAACTTGGGTGAGTTCCCCAACTTGTCCTTCTGAAGGATTTTGAATTTCTGTATAAGACTATTTAACAGTGTCTTGACCTACAGAAATAGAAACTTACCCTTACTTTTAAATTTCTTCAGGATTTGGAATGAGCCAAACTGTGGGTCATCTAGATTTCTTTCCAAATGGAGGAGAAGAAATGCCCGGATGCCAGAAGAACATTCTCTCCCAGATTGTTGACATCGATGGAATCTGGGAAGGTAAAACCATTGTGTATACACAGATTATTTCTTGGTGAAAGTCCGTGTTTCTTGTTGTTAAACTCTTAACCACTTTGGAAATGTTCAGATCTCACACTTTATATAACAAAGGACTTTTTATTGTGTCCTGGAGATGTAGGTTCCCACTGGGACAAGTGATCACGACGAAACTTTCACAGAGTCATTGCATTTACAATTTAATTTTGAGGCACTTAATTCTGAGAACACATTACTACATCGTACTTATGTCTGTGTGGATCATTTGTTCTCTCAGGTTACTTTTCCATTCACTTAACTATCATAATCCTAAGCGGTGCTTAACTTTTTATTGCATCTCAAATCATAAATATACATTGTAAGTGATTTTGTACTGTTACCTCCATGTTCGCTCTAACTAGAGAAATCTATTCATTAGCTGTATATTCTCATTTTAATGGAAACTTAAAAAAGTAAAATCTGTCACTAATGTCATGCACGATTTTACAGGAACTCGTAACTTTGCTGCCTGTAATCACTTAAGAAGTTACAAGTATTACTCTGATAGCATTGTTAACCCTACTGGCTTTGCTGGATTCCGCTGTGCGTCTTACAATGTTTTCTCTGCAGTAAGTAGACTCCAGCTTGCCTTTGAATTTTGTTTTCTTTTTCATTTCCTTCTCATTGCCAGAGATCAAACACAGAGCCATGTGCACGTGAAGCATATCCTGTACCACTGTCCTCTTTCTTTGGACCCTTTATTTGAATTATGTAACTATCTCTTAACTGGAGTGGCTCATTGTGCTGATGTCATCAGTGAATGTTTATAGTTTCATAATTATCTTACTAACTTATCCATATGCATTTTAGTAGCGAAAAAAACATTAGAGGAATTTACAGTAGTGGGCTAGACTTGCAAATGGAAAAGTCCTTATCCAGTTCATTCTCAAACCCGTCTCTGTCGCAGACGAATGTTCAGACTTGTTTTGGGAAAAATCCTAAATGAACGAGTAAAAAAACTAGTTCATGGTGATTTGAGAGCCATGTCCAGAGGGTAGACATGGAGGATTTTCTTTAAATGTTGACCTTTGAACATAGAATTATGCAAATACGGACATTTTTTTGAATCTTATAATCACCAGCATCTTTTCAGATTTACTCATATTTGATATCCAATTTGAATTCTTTGATGTAACCGAACACGCCGTATCTATTACTTTGTGCTTTAGTGCTTTTTTCAAATCAAAAAAAAATTTTTTTTGGTCTTTATGAGGGAGGGTCTCCCTATAGCCCCAGCTTTCTTGGAACTCACTATGTAGACCAGGATGGCCTTGAACTCACAGAGATCATCTGCCTGTCCCTGCCTCCCGAGTGCTGGGATTAAAGGAGTGCACCACCACGCCTGGCTTCAAATAGAAATGTTTAACCAATGCCATATAACAAAGAAACCGTAAAGCAATCACCATTCCATGTAAGTCACACTTACTAAGGGGATAAACATTAGTTACTATGAACAAATACTTAAGTCCTGGTTTTAACACTAATTAGCAAAATTAATTTGGGCAAAATACTTCATTTCTCTAAGACTGTTTCTTCATCTGTAAATGTAAATTATGTCAGGTTCAGTGCCCTTGATGATGTAACGTATGTTAATTATAATAATAAATTTTGTTAATTTTAATATATTGTAATAATGTGTGCGAGAGGGGCACACATTAAGCCTCTTTTACCATCAGGAACAGAATTAGCTTCAACTCAGTTGTAAAACATGTGAGGAAAGATGATGCTCTGTCTTTTAACATTCACCATTCCTCTGTTTTCATTAGAACGAGTGCTTCCCCTGCGGAAGTGGAGGATGCCCACAGATGGGACATTATGCTGATAGATTCCCTGGGAAAACAAGTGGAGTCTACCAGAGATTTTATCTTAACACTGGTGATCAGAATAACTTTGCACGTAAGTTTCTAAGTTTATTCACTTTCCATTGTTTTCTTTTTTTCTTTTTTTTGCCAGGAGGGGAGAGGCCTTGGTATGAAACCAGAGCCTTACAATGCCAGTGGAGTGCTTTATCCCTGAGCTCCAACCCTAGCCATAAATTTATTTATTTATTTATTTATTGTCTTTCTGAGACAGGGTCTCCCTGTAGCCCCAGCTGGTCTGGAACTCGCTATGTAGACCAGGCTGGCCTTGAACTCACAGAAATCTGCCTGCCTCTGCCTCTGCCTCTGTGCTGGGATTAAAGGCAAGTGCCACCATACCCAGCCAGATTTAAGTTCTTAATCGAGTGTCTATTATGCTCACTGATAATTTGTGAAATTGCTTTTCCATGCAAAAGCTTTGAGTCATCCACTGGCATGTGGAAAATGCTCAGCACCAAGCTCAGGGTAATGATGTAATCTGAACAGCAGAACAGTGAGGGGCCTGGACCATTCATGAGACAAAAACAAGTCTCTCCATATTTGATTCTGGTGCTGATGCTGAGATTTCCTGTCCTCTGGCCTGGTTATCCTGTTGAAAGCACCACTGAGCAGAAAGCCCAGGTTTTGTTCAAGCAGAGAGTGATGCCAGAGAGGTGGTGGGGTGGATGGAATGGGAAGGAGTTGACAGGACCAAGAGACATTTAGCATAGGAGTCAGTGGGGGCTGGGACGAGAGGGAGTGGGAGTGGTGAGCATGAGGACAGGCTCTGGGTTTCTTTTCTGGGTGGTAGAAGGAAATTACTTTGATGGGCGTTAAGGTGGTTAACAGCCTTTTTAAAAACTATAGACAAATTTTATCCCATTCCCAATTTGGCTCAGGTAATGCTAAATGACAAAAAGTATTTTTCACAGTTAACTAGTATCAAAGCAAGATTCTTCTGGTTACTTAAATACACATTCAGCGGAAAGGTGACATACAGAAACTTTAAAAGTAACATAGATTGTTTAGACAGAAAGCATGATAGGACTCTAAAATTGGATTATCAATGAAAATAGAGCAAATTGACAAAGGTGTCAGGGTCTGTATTTTTCTAACACCCTTAAATATAAAGTTCTTAGAACAGTCAAGAATAAATGATTAGGTTGGAAGTTTTTAAATTACATTTTATTTATTTATTTGTGGGGTGGGGCAGTGTGCTCATGTGTCACAGTGCACTTGTTGAAGTCAGAGGACAACTTGCAGGAATCAGTTCTATCAGGGGGGTCCTGGGAATCAAACTCAAGTAGCCAGGCTTAGCAGAAGGCACCTTTACCTGCTGACCCGCTTACCAGTCCCCAGGTGGAAAACTTTTAAACACAGTATGTGTCTTAGGCTCTTGGCTTGGAAAAAAAAACCCATCTATTAACACTGGAAGCATATTCTGTACTTCTACGCTTCCCAATACCTATCTGAATACTTAAGGGAACAATTACTATTTTATCAGAAGAATTACCAACAACATGATTAGATTATTCAAAATTCTGTAGCCGCGGGGGGAGATATTAACCTGCTTCAGTGGCTCTATTCTCCAAGCTGACGTTTTCAAATTTTGCTTCCCGTGTAGGTTGGAGGTACCAGGTAGCCGTCACCCTGTCCGGACAGAAGGTTACAGGACACATTCTGGTTTCTTTGTTTGGAAGTGGAGGAAACTCTAAGCAGTATGATATTTTCAAGTGAGTAAAATATCTACACTATCATTCTATGCTTCTCAAATGCTGAACACTGGGAGTGTATAATGCATGATGTTGATGTTCTTTTTCTCTGTTATGTGGGAGCATTGTCCTGTATCACAAAGAAATCTGTCCTTTCATGGCAGCACATTAATACATTTCAGAATTTTATTTCTGATTTTTTTTCTCTGATATTTACTAAGGAAATCATTTGTTTGCTCTGTTGACCATCATTTGATTTACAATGAATAAATAATTTTCTCCACAAACAGTACATCTTAGAAAGATTTTATAATGATACCATCATTAATTAACCATGGAGAGAACTGTGACTAAAATACATTTAAATCTGTATTAAAGTTGACTAAAATAACTGTTAGTAAAACCTACAACTGGTTTCAAATGCACACGTGAATTTACTTCAGGCATCAGAATGGCAAATGCGCTATCATTCATCTTGGCTTCAGATGCATTGTGAGCTGATTTTATGTATGTGCACATGTATGTGTGTATAATTATATGCATGATTAATTTGTATATATTTATTATGTTCACATATCTTTACTTTTACTTCTTAACTCCACAGGGGCTCTTTGCAACCAGGCAACACTCATTCCAATGAATTCGACTCTGATGTGAATGTTGGAGATATTCAGAAGGTTAAATTTCTTTGGTACAACAATGTGATCAACCCAACCCTACCCAGAGTTGGAGCATCAAGGATCACAGTGGAAAGAAATGATGGAAGAGTGTAAGTAATAAAAACTAGAGGATGAGGGTTAGGTAGTGTCTATTCCCACTAAAGTTCTTTGATTACAACGCTTGCTGCAGTTCAGACCTTCCCAGACACATCTGCTACCTAAAGCCTTGTGTATCTTTAGGAGAAAGTGTGGAATGTTAGGAATACCACATCCATAGATTTATAGATAAGTAAAAACAAGGTTTCCTTTGGCAGATAAGCTTTAACTGTGTGTGACTATTGTGTACATCATTCCAAAACTTCATGGGTTCACCACCTTGCCACCTGGGTTTTCAGGAACTCATTTAGCTTAAAAAGATACAGAGATAGTCTATTCTCTGTCATGGGTCTTCTTAGTGATGACAAAGGCCTAGGAGATCAATCTTCTATTTTAACCAAGACTAGAATGTCCTGGGCTAAGGCTGTTCACCAAGTGAACTATCAGGAAAAGAGACTAGATATAATCTTAATACAAATGTCAGCTACAGAGTTTCTGAGTGGTAAGCCAAATTCTGATGCAGAGAGTGCTGTTTTTTCTGGCATCAAATGTAGTGTCATCTTTGTAAAATCTAGTAAGGCTCAGGATTCTGGCAAAGATGGAGTCTAAAGCCCCAGAATTCTCAGTGGAAGAAACCCAAATTTCAGACAAGATCCGTAAAACAACAATTTTCAATACACTAAACTTTAAGCAACAGTGGACAGTGACGCCAAAAAATAAATAGTGTAGTTTTAAAATTGCCCCAGCTGACAGTTCTGAGAGAGTTTCTAGAACATGATTCAGGCAGCTTGTTAAATGGGCTCTCAAATATACTGGACAGAGCTAAGAATTGGGATCTCAGGCAGCTGGATTTCATAGCAGAGTCAACCAGAGGAGAAAGAACTACAGAGAGACATGTAAAGTTCTGGAAAGCCCATATAATATTCAGCACAGTCCTGATGAGCACACATATGTGATCAAACCAGCCGTGACCAGGGAATTAGGCACTTGGAAGAAGTGGAGGCAGCAGTGCCCAGTACTCTCCAGGGGTGGGAACAGAGCCTGTTTCCACCAGAGAGACTGCAAAAGCTCGAGTATACGTTGACATTGGGTACAGTACTTAGGAAGGTCAGGTTTCATGCTGTGAAATGAATCACCTAGATTTAGCAAGACTTGAAATGACTAAACTGATTCCAAGCAACCTAACTATACAAAATTTAAATAAGACTTCTAGATGTATATAATAATATATAGCAGTTAGGATAAAATCCACAATAACTAACATTAAGTCAAAGATTCCCAGCTACACAAATAGTACGACAATACTACTTATAATGAGGAAAATAATCAAGGTAAGATCCAACCAGGTCTAGCTCAGATGTTAGGAAAGCTGACAAACATATTAAAATAGTTAATAAATATCTATGCCATTTGTTTAAAAGCGAGAGAATGGCACAGGTTGATGACAGTGTTTGGAGGGGGTGAGAGGATATATATGTGTATATATATATATATTATATATGAGGATATTATACATACATATGTATAAATGGAGCATATGTTAAAAATGTCATAAAGGGTAGGAGAGGAAAATAGAAATATAGTATCAGAAGGTCCCTGTGCCACACATGAATCTGTATACTATCATTTATGTATTTAACATAGTAAGTATTGTGTTACCAATTCTAAGGTAACCATCATAACAATAAAGGACTAGAGCAAACAAATTAACAAAAGAAATAAAATAAAAGAACAATCCCAAAGACAGCATAAAGAGGGAAAGGAGACAAAGAAAACAAGTAGAAAGAGAATAGACCTATATCCAACTATATTGGTAATTGTACTAAATGAAAGTGGTCTAAACACCATGATTAGAAGGCAGGGATCATCATGTGGGATTTTTAATATTAATATCCACTTGTGTGGTGTCTACTTTAAATGTCTTTTAAATAGAAAAACACAAATTGAAACTTCAGGGAATGCTACCATTAATGTATTTCAATGGCTAACTATAAAAACATTGACAATACTGAGGATGGTTGGAGTTGAGAGGAATCTTGAACTCTCGTGTGCTGCTCATGACACTATAAAATGATACAAACACTCTGGAAAGTAGTTTCATGACAATTTGTAAAAAGCCAAACACACCAGCCTTGGCACACTTACGAGTCCCTCATTATCCATGGCTTTGATTTCTCGAATTTCAGTTACACAGACAACCATGATCTCAAAGCAATGAATGGAAACTAGCCCTTCTTCTTTGGGAAGGGGTTGACAGCTCCTCCCTAGGCTGTTTTCACAGCCATGTCAGAGTTTGGGAGGGTGATTCAGTTGTTTAAGGAGAGGTCTCACTCAGAGTCCTCAATGTCTGGCCTGTGGCTCTCTCTGACTGCGGCAGCAGGGCTGTGGATATCTGAGGGGACAGGCATGGCTGTCTTCATGCCCACCTTCCCAGCTGTACAGGAAGAGGTGACCTCTTGTGTTTTCTGTCCTCAGGTTCAACTTCTGCAGTCAAGAAACTGTGAGGGAGGAGGTTCTGCTCACCCTCTCTGCTTGTTAGGAGGCCCTGATGTGTGACCACTGAGCCTCATTGTAATAAAATGTAGTAGTGAAGCAATACATTCTGTTTTCTGTCATCTGTGTTGATTATTGTGAGTGAAACTTCTGGATAAGATACTAAAGCCCCAAATTCTCAGTTGTTGTCAAGAGCCATAAATGATTGACTGTGGCATTTGAGATTGGACTGTAGCTGCGTGATGGTGCCATTGTGTCCACTGTTAATATTGATGCTGCTCTAACCACTTCAGGCAGAGTCCCAGGCTCAAAGCACCTCCCTCTTGGTGAGCCTGTGAGTGAAGTGCCAACATTATCCACTTTTCCCATCACCTCCTGATCAGACATCTCAGGTGATGGCACAGCAGGAGGTGAGGTGCAACCATGAGGCAGGTTTGGTTTTTTGCATGGTCTTCCTTCTTCAGCATTTTTCTCCCAGCACCCAGGCCTCTCCTAAGGCCAAGATCAGTGCACTCCTGCTCTAGTGCCAGGACAGGAATACATTTCATAGTGAGTTTTGCTGGGCCCTTCACAATCCGATTCTCACCTACGACTCCATTTTCACCTCAGCACATTCATTTGTAACTCCATATTCTACACTTAACACCAAGGATAAGCTCCTGATCTTCCTACAAGATTTTGTTTCTTGGGGCTGGAGAGATAGCTCAGTGGTAAAGAACACTTGACTGTTCTTGCAGCAGACCCTGGTTCGAATCCCAGCACCCACATGGCAGCTAACAACTGTCTGTAACTCCAGTTCCAGGGAATCTGACAGCCTCTTCTGTCCTCCACGTGCATTGCACGACACGGGTGCACTTACCTACATACAGGCAATACACACATACACATAAAATAAAAATAATTAATAAAATATTTTTAAAAAGATTTTGTTTCTCTATCCTGATCTCAAATTAGACTACAGGACTATGGTAACAAAAACAGTTTTGTTCTGGTACAAAAACAGATGGGAAGACCAATAGCAAAGAGGACACATCCCAGAAATAAATCCACACTGCTACAGACACCTAGTGTTTGACAAAGGTGTCAAAACCATGCATTGCAGAAAAGGCAAACTCCTTTTCAAAATATTTTATTATTATTTTTTTAACAGAGCATAGGGTATGGGTTTATTTACAGAATAGTGGGCGCCCCACACTTAATGGCTATGCCTTAAAATCCACCCTTCAAATACAGATTCTGTGACCTCCCAACAGCCACACGAAGTGGTGAGAGATGTGCCTCTTGGTGTTCTTGGCTTATATATCCTTTGCCCCTCCCCCCACATGCAGCTAAGTTTGACTGATTGGGTGGGAGGGGTAACTGACTCCCCCCTCAACTTCTTGATGAGCGTGGGAAGGAGGTGTGACTATAGTTTGCCTGCATAGTGGCCGGAGAACATTTCTAGTAAACACTCCATCCCTTCCTCCAGCTCTTACATTCTTTCCACCAACCTCTTCTGCAAAAGTCCCTGAGCCTTGGAGGGGGAGGTAGGTGTGGGATGATCTTCCTCCCACTGTGGTAGGCACTGAACTTTTGGGTCTCTGCATCATCTGTTTTCCATGGGCTGTTGGCCAGTTTGAGTGGGAGTCCATCTACTATAAAAACACACAGCAAGGAGCAAGAACATCTAAACAGTGACTGCTATAATAACTTAACCTATGGGTGTAAACACAAATGCTTGGTCGATACTTTAGCAGGTATATCATTTCCATCTAACAATGCAATTGCAGTGAATTCCCAGTGGGGCCTATATTCTCCCCTGCTACAGGGGGTTGGCTGGGTCTACAGTACCAGATGTGTGTTCTACCCCTAGGAGCAGGCATTATATCCAATCAAAATTTGATGGCTGTACATACACTAGACGCTCCTCTATTGCACCAGCAGGAACATCTTGTTTGGTTATATTGATAGTGCAACATGCAAGGTCGGTCGTTGAGGAGAATTATAGGAGACTATTCTCCCCTAGTCATCTGCTTGTTCCCTTTTGGCACCATGAAAGCCACCCGTTGAGGGACAGGGAGTTTCCAGATTAGTCCAAGCTTGATTTCTCCCTCTTCTGTGCTCATATCATGCAGTGTCTTCAGCAATAGGGTTTTTCCGTCCACTTCCAGTGTACAACCAACATTATTGGCAATGGCCTTTCTTGTTTTAGAGATCTCTAGTGTCCCTCGGGCCAACAGCTCATAGGGGACAACCCACCTCTGGCACTGGGATGTTCATTTAACAACCGTATTGCTTCTGGAAGGGCTTTCTTCCATCCCCATAGGATTCCTTCTCTGCTTAAGGTTTTGTTTTTTGTTTTTTAAACCATGTTTCTGGAGAATTTTTTCCCCTTTATTTCCACAGTTCTTTGTATAGTCCTCCTTCCTCCCCTCCCCTTTACCTACCCCATTTTTACATATTTCTCCCTTAATAACACATTTATCATACTAATCTTCTCTCTCAGGTTTCTTCTTTTCCTTTACCCCCCTGTTTTCTTTCCATAGTCCTGTCCCTGCAGTTGCATCAGGATATGCACTCACTTATAAGGATTTGGTGCTAGGATCCACATATGAGGGAGAACCTATGTCTTTTGTTTTGCTGAGTCCCTGTTACTTCATTAGTATAACAGTTTCTAGATCCATCCATTTACTCGCAAATTTCATTATTTCATCTTTCTTTACTGCTGAGTAGAATTCCATTATGTAAATGTACCACATTTTCGTTAACCACTCTTCAGTTGAGGGGCCCTTAGGCTGCTTCCATCTCTTAGCTGTTGTGAAAAGAGCAGTAACAAATATGAATGTACAAGTATCTCCGCAACAGGACGAGTCCTTTGGGTATATGCCAAGGAGTGGTGTAACTGGGTCATATGGTAGATTCTTTTAGTTTTTTAAGAGTTCTCCACACTTTTTTCCATGGGGGTTACACAAATTTGCAATCCCACCAGCACTGAGTGAGCGTTCCCCTTTCTCCACATCCTTGCCAGCATTTGGTATCATTTGTTCTCTTGATACTAGCCATTCTGACTGGAGTAAGGTGATACCTTAGGATGGTTTTAACTTCATTTTCCTAATTACCAGTTGAACACTTTTTAAGCTGTTTCTTAGCCATCTTTATTTCTTCTTTTGAGAACTCTCTGTTTAGATCTTTATCCCATCTTTGAATTGGATCATTTGCTTTCTTGCTTTTTTGTTTTTTGAGTTCTTTATATATTCTGGATGTTGTCACTGGTGAAGATTTGTTCCCACTTTTCTTCACTCTGTGG